CTGTTATTCGTTTTCAAATTACAACAAAATAATAATAACGATTTTTTCAATAAAAAAGGGAACGCGTATCAATCTGGATGGTACAATTGTGGAACGTAAAAACTTGGACGGTACAAATCTGGAATATAAAATGTCAAATTCCGTAAAAATCTGGACAGTACAAAACCGGATTGTTAAATTCTGGACGTTACAAAACTGGACCGTAAAAATCTGGACAATGCAAATTATGGATTATAATATTCTCTGTTACAAACTTGATGTAGTGTTGCATAGGGCATAGCAAGTCGAAGGATATTTTCGATTTTCAGTTGATTTGTATACTTCTATAGGGTCAGAATGAAAACAAAGTAAAATTGTGGGGAATTGCATTATATTGTTATAGTTGTTGTACAGTGTACACACTCTCAAACAAATCTTTGTATATTAGAATATTATAATATGTGTAGGTACCATACCCATACTATAATATCCACGTCTTTCTATTTGACAAAAGAAGAAGAAAAAGAATAAATAATAATAAAAAATACACTTGCACTTAAAAATACATATTATTACACGTTCCTATTCACACAAAAAACAAACACACCACTTAGGTATGCCCACGCGTTTATGTATGTCAACTAAGAAACTATATAGGTACATTAATTATTATTATGACAATCATTTCCCACTTAGGCACAATATTAAATTTCCTCAAAATGGTTAAAATAGTCATAGTTTTTCTCAAACAACCATTGCTCTGATTTTAAAATCAGACAGCGGTAAATGCTCACCCCACAATATGTATATGGCTATATACAATATAGAAATATATTATTGTTTTATTACGAAAATGCTACTATTATTAGTTATTATAACAAGTGAAATCGAAATAGATACCTACCTACTGGCTACTGTAGTTTGTTAGTTATCACTTATCTGTTCTCAACGAAATGCTGTGATCAGTGTTACACAGCAGTAATATTATATTGTACAATACGATACTGCAGTATTCTATATACATTGTTCATTACTCATTCTTTATTACATATAATATTCCCTATTATGATAGATTTATCGTTGGAATGATAATATAAGAACTCTCATTTAATTAACTATTGATCGTATGCAAGCACTCCCTTATTTTAGGTTAGGTATTTTAAGTTACATATTAAGTAGGTAATAAGTAATTTAATTTTTTGTGGATGCTCGTATAAATTAACAGGTCAGTTTCATAATAGGATAAAAATAATGTTTTATAATTATTATTAAAATTCGTGTTTTTTGGAAGGTGCATACAACAACAAAGGAGGATTTTTAAAAATATGGTAATGTAGAAAAATAATTTGTTGAATATTTTATCTATCATGTTTTTAATTTTTTTATTGACTTATCGATTTTTTAATAATAAATATATACTTTAGAAAATACACAAGTGGCCCTTGGCATATTTCATCATTAATTTTCAGGTAAATTATTATTAATTATGTAGGTAGGCACTAAGACTAACTTTTGGTAATGTACATTAGAAATAATAATATGGTTGCGGTTGCGGGTTTGTAATAAACTATTTAACACTGAATAATACAGAGTTTTTGTTCAAAAGTTTGGAAAAATTGAAATATTTTTTGTTGAATTTATTATTAATTTTTAATGTAATTAACGTTTATTGTTTGGGTTGAATTTAGAAATTATTAACTTGGAACTCTAATTTACACTTGTAAGGTTTGCATTTAAGGTACCTAATTATTCAAAATATTAAGTTCAATGTCCCTATAACCTAAAATAATATTAAATTCAAACACTTCAAAGTATAGTAGGTACCTACACACAATTTTTATGAATCCGCTATTAAATAGCGACTTATATTATTATATTGACAGATATTTTAAAATTATATAAGCCTGCGCTTCTACATTTTTCGAACACCACGGTGTATGCTTTAATTACAATTTGTTTTGTTTAACAACATTATTTTGTGGGCAAAGGCAGTGGCCGTAATGAAATCTGTGATAGATGTATTATCACTATTATCTGTGACGCAGTCCGTATAATACGTTCGGATGTATACAACAATAATAATATTACACCTAAAATGATAAAGGTGAAGAAGTCAAAGTCTGTTAGTGTATATAATATTATTATACTTCAAACAAGCTGCAGAGCGGATAAATGTCCTAATGACATTGGCCTCATATTAATCTATGCAGAGTACATGGTGTGGTGTACACGTATGCACTAATTATACAGAATATACATATATGAATTATCTATAATATATATTATATACATATACAGTATAAACATAATTTTACAAACAGTTAGCTAACTGTGATATTTCAATAAAAAGATTACGTTCATAAATCATATGTACCTAATATATACATTATAGAAGTACCGTACTGTAGGTGGTAAGTACCACATTACAAGTAGATACCTACTGGGTAGTACAGTAGTACTGGATATTCTGCATATTATACAGTATACACGTACATGAGTATAAACAACATTGGAACAATGGAACCCTCAAGTTCACTTTTAGCACCCTCAGCTGGCAAGTTCCAAAATATTATCTAAAAATAAACAACACCTTTCTATTTTACCTATATTACATTATTATAATGATAATATTTTATCGATTATGTATAAAACAACACAAGGGAAATCCATATGTCGTAATACTATAATTATTATATTCATAAAATGTGAAGTTTGTTCGAGTCAAGGTAGGTACCTCGTAATAAGTATATACACTATATTATATAGGTAATATTCTTTAAATATTTTTTACTATTAATGGTATCTTATTGAGTACTGACGTAGAATCACTTATCAGTTACTTCAAATTATTAGTAGGTATTAAGATATTATAAAATTAAGATTTTTCTTAATATTGTATAAAAATTGCCTATGTGAAACCCCTTACAAGTGTATGTGGCATCCAAAACACTGGAATTATTTGTATATTCAAATTTAAAATCTTAAGTTGTAAGTTGTAACATATACATATTGGTTCTTAAGTTTTTACCGGTTTATTGTTATACATTTTTAAACAATCTGGAAATTAATCAATCACTTATAATATGGCTATACAGAGTAATACACCAGCTCGCCCCCATTTTTTCCTTTAATAATGAATTTATTCAAATATTGATTTTTGGAATTTTTAAATATACTCTACATACAATGACGTATACTCTCCTACAATGTTTTCAAATTATTGTTTTGTACTACTTAAGGAGTGTTCTGATACGATACAAACTTCTGTTTGTAAAATGAGAACTCTCCATTGTTACTGTAAATTATTTAGTGGGTAATTTTTTTGAAAATGTTGATGTACCAAATTTAAAACTCGAAAGAGTAGTTTCTTAGTTATTAAAATTTTTGTATTAGGGATAAGAGTCCTTTAAAATAGATTTTACGTAAATATAAAATTGTATCTAGAATTTATTATTATACTTGGGTTATTTTTACAATGTATTAAATATTAATATTAATGACTTCAATTTTAAAATTACCATAGCAACACAAAAACTACTAGTACGGATTTTGATTCTGTACGTCAAAAATTTCAGAAAAATTATCCTCTACCTATATAATTTATATTTGAATAGAGGTGTTCTCATTTTAAAAACAGAAGTTTGTATCTCCACAGGACACTTCTTAAGTAGTACAACATCTCATGAATTTATAACAATAAATTTATAACATTTATAACAATAAATGAAGTATTAAAGTATATTATTTAAAAATTCTACTATAGAGGGTACCATCGCTGGATGTTTTCCCTCATCTTGTGTTTCATGTTGTTTTTTTTTATGTATGTATATAGTGTTATATCTGTTATCAATTCTGCATTTCTGCCTATTGTATAATATTATACAGATTGTAGATTTTCTAAATTAATAAATAAATAAAAAAAAAAAATTCTTAATATCAAAATTTAAATAACTTCATTATTGAAGAAATAAGGAGTGGGGCATTCTTGATGAATTATCCTGTACCTATATATAAGAAAATAAAACACTTATTTTGGTTTATAATATTTTAATGATTTAAATGTATTGTAAGAATTTTGTTAAAAGTCTGTAGTAGGTAGATAATAACATTTACTGAATTACGTATAAGTAAAAACGATTTGATTCAGTGGCGTATTTACGGGGGGGGTCCCCGGGTCTGGACCCCCCCCAGAAAAAAATATAATATAATATAATTATTACATCGTAACTCGTATGTGTTTTTTTTATATTATAAACTTGTAGGTACCTAATATTTCGCGGAAGCATTGCGAAAGCAGTTCCCGCGACGTCGTCGGTTCAAACCCGAAAAAAAAAAAAAAAAAAAAAAGGTACCTAATATTTAGACCCCCCCCCACAAAAAATTTCAAAATACGCCACTGATTTGATTTGATCTGTGAAAGTTGCAGGAAAACATGCTTACAAATACAAAAATAGTGAAATGTTAATTACAATGAATAGATAGATATATAATATGTGTCACCAAAAATGTAAATATAATATGAGGAGGCAAGACCATGAGCGCTTTTACTTTTCAAAATTAAAAAAAATATATTATGTATTTACAATTTTACTTGGTGGCAATTGGTTTTGACAAATCAAAAGGAACATCCCTGTAATAACTCAACACACGTCAATACAACTTTTTCCTCAATTTATCATAATATCATTATATTAATTATGAAATACCTATTGTCATGACTGTTGCCAAGTGTTCAGCAGTGTTTATACAATTAGGGTTACCACATTGTGTCTTTAGGAAAAGAGTACGTAATATATAAAGCCATAAAGATAATATAAAAACTCTAATTTCATAGTTGATATTTATTTAATTAACAAGACATTTTATATACTAAATTATGTGTGAAATACTTAATAGTTAATACTGAAATACATAATATTATCATATACCTATGATATATTTGGTTAAAAATTAGTTTTTATTTATAATTTTAATTAGGTACACGCCACACGGGTATTTGATTAATATATATGTTTAAGAATTTAATATTTATTACTGCTTCGTATTTTTGATAGCAAACATTTGTCTTTAATACAATAATCATAAAACTGAGTACAGTCAAAATGCTTAAAATTGTATTGTGTCATCAACAAATTTTTTACAGAATCGGGTAGAAGTCTATTTCTGTCATCAGTCCATTGTGCTTTCATAAGACTAAATATTCTCTCGACATTGGCATTTTGAGCAGGTATGGCGAAGTAGAACGTGCATATTTTTAATAGTTCTGAAGATGTATCATAGCTTCTTTGTTCAAAATATTTCACCCACTTTTTATCTGATAATAATGATGAAAAGTCTTCATTTTTTTCCATTTGCGACAAAAACAAATTTAAGTTTTGAGATTGATCAAATAATAAAGAGTCGTTTAATTGTAGATCATATTTATTTAAAAATACAATGCTATTTTCTATATCAGTCCATAAAGGTTTGGTGTTTAAAGACATCCATTTTAAACAATTAAATTGATCAAAATTGACTGTCCATTTTTTCAAATAACACAAACCATGATCATAAACATTTAACATTTCTTTTTTTAAATTAGATACACCTGATTGATTATAATTATTTTTAAATATTTCTTTTACTTTTAAGGGTAAAAATTCTTGTTGTTTTCGTTCGTGTAAAGCATTTTCTACAGACAACAAAATTGACGAAATCTCCCAAATCGAATTATTCTCTTTTTCCATTATTTCAATTTTTGAATGAAATACATACATTAGTGAATGAATAAACCATAAATAACTTTCATTTAATGGATTTTCAAAAAATGATTTAATTGCAATCGGTATTTGATTTTGTGACAAAAAATATGACTGAAGTGCTGGATATATTTGTAACAATCTATTAATAGCCGGAAATAATGATAACCATCTTGTTTTTGAATGAAATAAAAGTTTTCTGTACTCAACATCGACAAAAATACAAAATTCTTTTAATGCTTCTGTACGTACTGTATAAATTGAAAAATAATTATATATTTTTAATATAATAGACTCTATATCTATCGGTAAGCCATCAATTGCATGCTGAACACAGTTATTTAGAATATGAGCAGGGCATCCGATTCCAATAATTGGTTTTTTAATATACTGTTGGAGACGATAAAAAACATTATTTGTTCCTCGTCTTTCTACACCACCGAAATTGGTGTTACAATTATCTCCAGAAAAGGCTATACACTTCGAAAGTAAATTCATGTTTTCTAAAGTCTCTATCAATAAATTACAGATTGTTTCACTAGTTTCATTTGGTAATGACTTAAGTTCAATTAAATTATGTTTAATCCCAAAATTTTTATCAAAATATTGAATTAAAATAGGAAAAATTTTCACAGCACCATGGTTAGACCCATCTGTACAAACTCCAATAAATGAAATATTGTTATCAGTAATGATTTTTAAAACTTCTTTTAATGAATGTGGGGCTAAGACATTATTAACAATAGCTTCAGTTTTAGTTCTAGCAGAAGATATTTTAGATGCTACCTCTGAATCGCAAAACATAAGACGATATAATTTAGTGGAACAATCACAAGATTTATAGCTATGGTGATGTCTTACCGTATGAAAGGCAAGTGTGGCTTCAACTGCTAATATTTTTTCTTCGATTTTTGTATTCTGTGTTACAAAAAACGTATTCACAGATTTTGAACCGCTAGTTGATTGAATATTTTTTGAATGTTTAGACGAAGACAAATGTTGTATTAAATCAGCTTTGCCTTTATTGGCTAAGGAAACAATTATACAACAAATTTTACAAAAAGCCTCGTGTTCATCTTCTGTTTTTTTAAACATAGGGTATTCTTTTATTAATTTTTCATTAAATTTACATTTTCGGCGAGACATTTTTGATGAACACAATTTAGCTTGATGCGTAAGCGTGAAGACGTGAAGTTAACGAACTAAAATGTATAGTACTAGACACTAGTACATAGTAGCAAATACTAACACGGACTAATTCAATATGTCACATGTATGATGTATATCGTATTACCGTAGACATTTCGGAGAAAAACGACGATAACATCGATAACGTCCGTGCCGATTAAATTTATATTTATGTTATTACTTTATTAGATTAGCTTACAAGTTTATTACGACTTGTGGCATTTCGGTATCTTCGGAATTAAATAGAAATAGAAAAAAGAGTACATTGTTGCCAATATAAAAAAAGTGAGAGTACAAAAATTTTAAGAGCTCATAAGAGTACATGTACTCTTAAAAGAGTACTAATGGTAACCCTATTTATAACGACTGTTGAAATGCGAGTAGCGGCAGTAGTCCGACGATTGTTCAAATGAACGAAAATACGAAATATTGTATTTACTATGATAAATAATAATGGCAAATAGTTCTCGAATGTTCGCGGCGGCGGCGGTTGTCGACGACTTCGATACGTATAACCGATAACGATTGCATATTGTTCTATTTTTATATATAAATTATATTTGTCTACAGCCACGGATACTGGACTGCCCGGAGTCCGGACTGGTAACGACCTAGTGGGCGGGTGACGGGGGACGGACCGCATATATTTCCTTCAACTACATGTTACCGGTTATCACTGTTGTTTTATTTATATCTTAGTCCGTGTTGTAATAATTTTTAATGTCCATTGCAACCCCCCGTACTTGTCTCTTGTATTCAAATTTTTCGCACTGACTTGTATACTACATAATAGGTGTGTTGACACGGCTACGGCGATGTTGATCGACGCAGTCAGCCGGTCGTCGGGTGTGGAGTGGAAGTAGGGTGACACAAACGACACTCGCACTTGAAATTAAGGTACACGTATTTTGGTGTGATATGGCCTGTGGCCGGTTTATTAAAACAATATTCAAAGTTTTGAAATCAATGTTAGATTAAGTAATCTGGTAGTTAAAGTCAACGGATGTCACATATAACGGTGAAACGGTCGCCGGCGTGGTTTTCGGATGACGAGCGGTATGTATCCGGTGCGGTGGTACGTAGCCGAGATGGAGCCGTTTCGACGGTTGACATGAGAGAGAGACGCCGCCGGCGGCCAGTACTCGTTTTGCGCGACTTGCCTTCCCGTCCCACCTTGTGCCTTTTAGGCGCGGTGGGAGAGTTGGTGCTGCCGCGCTGTAGTCCGTGGTGGTGGTTGACAAAAGTGTAGACGGGTCGCTGCGGTACCTGTACTTTGTACTGGTGGCCGCTGCGTACCGCGTCATACTCCCCCGCCAAACCGCCACACGGGGTTCACTTGTACCAGTGTCGGCGTGTAGTTATTCGGACGAAGTGGCTTGTACTACCTCTGGCTTACGCTTGAGGTAGACTTGCCCACGCCCGTGGGTGTTTTTAGTGGTGGTCCGGGGATACAGATAACAAATCTATTTCCGAATACTCGTAAACGTTTAGAGATGGAAAATAATTTGCTGACAATACAGTTGAATTTCCAGTAAAACTTAATGTAATAGATTCATGCATTGTAAAAATTCAAGATATAAATGACCACAGTTAAAAGTATTGAAGTCTTGATAGTTGGAATAGTTGTATACTATTTTGAACTGTCTGAAATAATGTTGTAATTCAATTGGTGGTGGTAAATCACCAAAGCTATCAAAATATACAACTTTGTACTTATTTTTATAAAACGCTACCCAATGGCTTCCTTCGCCTGAAGATATATCCAAGTTTAATATACCACATTCAATAGCGTGCGGTTTTTTAGGAAAGTTATCACGTGAAAAGACTCCACGGAAATGATTGATTTTCAACTTTCCGACATATTTTATAATATCTTGAGACGAAAGCGGTCTGTCAGGTAGCGTGATCATCAGTATTTTTTTCTTAACCTATTCTTGTTTGATTTCAAACCACTACCTTTTTTTCTTTTTGAATTTTGAACCGCATTATACACACTAGCACCTCCAGACATCAAACTACCAAGTGCTGACAATCCTGCAAATATAGGTATTAAGGGAATTGCACCTCCTGACTGCCTCGGTGCTAAAATCAGCCTTTTACCACCATTCTTTTTCTTTGAGATTCTTTTTTTCTTCGCTGCTAGTATACCATTTGTTTTTATAGCACGTATCCGTTTACAACCCATACCTATTTTTCTATTAGCTTTCATCGCGTTTGTTACTGCGTACGCGACTAATTTCTATTTTCTAGGTGTATCTTTTGCTTTAAATTCTTCCCAAGCACGATTTTCTAACACTTGATCAGCTTTATGTCTATCGTCTACATTTTTAGTCGTTGCATACACAATATCGTGATCACGACAAGCAGCATCCAATGGTTTTATTCCTTTATCGCCACGATCTAGTCTCTTTTTTAATTTCGTGCCAGGACCACAATACTGATATCCTGAAACATGGGCTTCGAACGGGAGACTATTTATAAGGGAGTTTACAAATCCTTTTCCAGTCTTGACTGACTTCCACTTACGAGTTGAACGTGTCATCGATAACTGATTATAAATTGGAAAATTCTAGAGTATTTATAAGAAAATAATATGGATTTGATAGAACAGAAAGATAAATTGGATGTCACAAATGTAGATGTTCAGGTAGTAAAAAAACCATCGAGACATGGTTCGTTATTACCCGATACTATACGTGCTATACTAGTTGGTCCCAGTGGCACAGGAAAAACAAATATAATGTATAATCTGATCACACATGCAAACGGATTAAGATTTGAAAATATTTATTTATACTCAAAAACCTCTAATCAGGAAAAATATGTTTTACTGAAAAAAATAATAGATGATATAAAAGGTGCTAATTTTTTCATATTTACAAGCGCTGATAAGGTTATAAAACCAAACTTAACCAAGAAAAATTCTATTATCATTTTTGATGATGTGATATGTGGTCCACAATCCGTAATCAGAGAATACTTTAGCATAGGTAGACATTCAGGTGCTAGCTCCGTATTTTATTTAGCACAGACATATTCTAAAATATCAAAACAGCTTGTAAGAGATAACGCAAACTTTTCAATAATACTGAAACAAGATGATACAAATTTACGACATATATTCAACGATCATTCGTCTACAGATATGAATTTCTCAGAATTCCGGAAAATTTCCCGTTTATGTTGGAATTACAGCGATTACGGGTTTCTGGTCATAGATAAAACTCGAGAAATGAATGAAGGAAGGTATAGATGTGGTTTTCATACATTCATTAAAATAAAATAATTTTATGTGCTTATACCTATATATAAATATACCATCACACAGTTATTATCCGCATAGTGTTATCAGTAGTCATACGATACAGGTACATTACATTTATTATTTACAATGAACAAAGAAAAAGTCTTGTTGGAAAGTTTGATAACATCAAAAAAAAATATACAACGAAAAATAATGGAAATGAAACGTGGTGTTATAGATTCTGAAAACTATTTCCGTGAGGCATTTAAGACGATAATTGAACCATTGAGTACACATGTGAAACAAAATGTAATATGTAACACACAGTCAACTGAACTAAAAAATAAATCAGAAACCCCGTGCATTAGTGAAGAAGATAATGATCATGAATTAAATTCATCATATGAACATTTTTTAAATAACCGTCCTAAATCAACACGTTATGATAAATCTTATGGTATGTATTATGATAAAGATAGTGATTCATATAAAATAGGAAAACATCCTGTTACTTTTAGTCACGTCAAATTACTGTTGCTTATTAAATACTACCAATTTACACCAGGACTATGGTCTTTATTATGTGAGAAGGAACCAAAAAATACAACTATAGCAGATATAGAATCTTATTACAATATTTTGAAAACTAGTGGAGTCCACTTAAAAGCAGATGGAAAACCTAGAACCACGAGGTACCATAAATGGGTGACTGTTGTAAAACCACTGTATGATCGAATGAAAATGGAGGAAAAACAGTTTAACGAAGAAATAAGTAAAATTAATGAGAATACAACTCCTCGAATTAATTTAAAATCATTTAACAATCATTTATCTAGTTTAAGCGCTAAACGCAGAAAAATAACACAAGAATTTGAACCATTTGATTTTAATCCAGAAGCAAACAGTTCCATGTCTACAAATCCCGTAGTTGAAAAGATGTTTAATTTTACTTCATCACCAAAGACTATGAAAGGTTCTGGTTTATATAAAGATGTCTTACCTCAAACCCAATTAGTTTATTATGACGATCCGAATGAGCTAGTAACTAGATTAAATCTTTTGACATCATCACAAAGTGTTGGTAATACTGGTGTGAATAATGAAATAATATCTATTTTAGAAGAACTACGTGAGAGAAATATTATAGTATAATGACTACCTTAGAGAGTATAGCTAATGAGTTACATCGGACAGCGAGAAAAATATTTCCTAGACGCAGTGTAGTAACGCGGTTTATTGATGACCTCTGGCAAGCTGATTTAATGGACATGCAATCTCATTCTAAACAAAATTATGGTTTTAAGTATATTTTAGTTGTCATAGATACATATAGTAAGTACGTATAGCTTGAGGCGTTGAAAAATAAAACATCGAAAGAATGTACAAAAGGTATGTTTAATATATTGAAAAAAGCTCATCCGAAATTATTACAGACAGATAATGGTACTGAATTTTACAATGCTCAATTTCAAGATTTAATGAAAAAATATAAAATTAAACATTACAGTTCATACAGTGTTATTAAATGTTCAATCGCACAATGAGTGATCCAAACTCTTAAAAATAATATATATAGACATTTTACTGCTACTGGTACATGGAATTGATATAATATACTATCAAAAATTACACAAAATTATAATAATACAAAACATAGAACAATCAAATGTACACTGAATGAAGCTCGAATGGATACAAACAATATTAAATATAATACACAAATAAATTATACATTATATAATCCAAAATTTAAAGTTAATGACAAAGTAAGAATATCTAAGTATAAACATATATTTAGTAAAGGATATACACCAAATTAGGCAACGGAAATTTTTACAGATCAATTTACATATAGGAGGCCACAACAGGCACATCAACAAAAATGGTTCTTTTAAGAACCGACAATTTAAAACGGCCCTTCTTAGGGCCACCACATTTTTAAGTTCATATAATTATATCAGATTAAATAAATATATTATTATATATTTAAAAAATATGATATAAGAAATTAAAATAAACAATATATTTATTAAATACAACAATAATTATAGTTTCTTAATATATTTAATAAAATGAATAATGTACATTTGGTGGGCTGTTGTAAAAATTTTTTTTTTTGTTATTTCAAGTAACGCGAATGTAATTTAAATAAAATATTTAATGTAACGACTAACAAATAACGTACTTTATTACGACGTTATTTTAATAATAAAAATAAATTAAAAACCGAAAAATCAAAAATCCGACTAAAGGAGATATTTTTTTATAACGGCATACGAATATAAAACCTCTTAGACGTTTTTGGATATTTCGACATTTTTTCCCAGACTCAAAAGCCAAGGGGGTCCGTGAAAAGTGGTTGGAAAATCGAAAAATCAAAAATCCGACTACAGGATATTTTTCTATAACGGTACACTAACAAAAAACCTCTTAGACGTTTTTCGATATTTCGACATTTTTTCCCAGACCCAAAAGTCAAAGTTACGTAGAAAAGTCATAAAAATAATTTCAAGTAACGCGAATATAATTTAAATAAAAATATTTAATTAACGACTATATAACAAATAACACATTTTTTATGACGTTTTAATAATAATAGTTAATTAAAATTCGAAAAATCAAAAATCCGACTACATGGTATTTTTCTATAAAGGTACACGATCAAAAAACCTCTTATACGTTTTTCGATATTTTCGCGTTTTTTTTCCAGGCCCAAAAGCCAGAGTTCAACCCAGGCCTGCTCATTGCAATGTTAAGTATGTTCTCATTAACAGTTCCTAAAACTGACACTTATAGATTAAAATGTCTCAGTTTCATATTAGGTATATTGTAATAATACAATATTTTTTTTAAATATTATATTTAGGTAATAGTGATTTGGCAGATCTCACTCAATATGAATTGTACAAACGGCACATTTGTGGTCATCATTTTCTTGACGAAAGCTTTACTAGTTACAACAAATGCAGATTAAAAAAAAGTTCATTTCCTCAACCGTTTGTAAAAATAGATAGCAGTGACATACCTGTTAATATACCTATAAAAACATATTCTGCAGCATCAAAATTTACATTAAGTCCTCGTCAAGTTTTTGAAACTAAAAGAGTACAGTCTGCATCTACAACCTCATTTTGTGAGTCAACTAAAAGAATTCGATTGATATCATCTGTAAAATCTACAAAGTATAGTACATCACAATCTAATGTTTCTACTCCAGAAATATCACCAAACACTACTTCTTTTTTTAAAAGTGTTAGTAATTTGCCATTTACTACTGCTTTAAAACCAAAACAACTTTTTCAAAAATCAACTTCAGACGCAGATCTAATATTAAAATTGAAACAAACAGTAGCTCGCCAGAAAAAAATAATACCTAGCCCTTAAAAGAGTAACAATCTCAAAATTGAAAAACAAGTCGATCATTGCTTAAAATTACTGATGCTCATATTAACCCGGGACCATTCCAAGTTATATCATGTAAGCTGGCTATACAACTATTCAGCAATAAAGTAGCTACTACAATGAAAACGTGTATTATTATACAGCAACTTAAATCTAAAACAGCTCCTAACACTGTAGAAATGATAAAATAATTAAATGATTTACTTGATTGTCTGAACAGCAATTCATTATTTAATTCTAATCATTTTAAATGTGCTCTTTTTGATAAGTGTCCACGTCAACTTGAATTTCTATTAAAAGCAAAGACTTGGTTTGAGTCTTTAAAAAAAATTTCTGCAGCCCCAACAACACCACTCAGAGATGTAAGACCTGCTTGTTTTAATGGAATGGTATGGACTATTAATGCTATAACAATGTTATATGAGGAACGAGTTAAAATTGGTTATAGTTATTTACTGCTGCGAAGACTCAATTCTGATGCCATTGAAAATATGTTTGCTGTTTTCGACAAAGAGGTGGCTACAATCGGTAATTATATATTTTATATTTTTGAGCGAAAAGGTTTTTATCTAATGCTTGTATTATTACAGAAATCCAACTGCAAGAACATTTAGAATAACCTTCCGTTTACACGTTAAGTCAAATTTGATGCAGCCAACCACACTCTCAAATTGTGAACCAGATGAGGATATTCATTTATTAAGCGTAGATGATGGATTGTCTAAAAACCCTACTATTGAGGAAGAATCAAACTCATCAAGTTGCTCTTCTCTTTCATTGTCATCAATGGATGATTTAATATATGAGTAATGTGAACCAGGGTATAAACCTCAAATATCCTTAGAAAATTGTTCAAATAGTTACTTTGCTGGTTATTTGGCTAACAAATGTACTGAGAAATTAAAATGCAGTATAAGTACATTATTAAAATCTGATGAAGGCGATAAATTTAATCAACAAGAATTTTTAATTTTCTGTAGAAACTACGACTCTCAGTCGTCAGATTTTTTTTAAAAAGGCCAACATCTAGTTTTACAGACTTTGTTAGTTTGGCACAAAAAATTATTAAGAAAACAGTAGAAAAAATGCCACACAAAAGTTTATTTTTAATAAAATAAAAAAAGAAATTTCCCATTTATGTAAATTTAACGAATTATGTCAAGACCCCTACAATTTCATTATAATTCATCTAATTAATTGTAAACTTCTTCGAGATTTTAACTGAATCGAAAAATATAAAAAACTAGAGCAGAAAAATCCCAAAATAAACTAAACATTTTGAAAAATAATTAAAATTGTAAAACTATTTAGTATATTTTTTAATTATTATAATACAATTATTATTATATTTTTATTTGTATTGTATTTATTTATTGTATTTTAAATAATAAATTACTTAAATGTAAGTTACATATTTACATTGTAACATAATGTCCTACCATAACAAGTTGATTCAAAAGTAGAATATTTAGAACATTAATGTGTATTAGCTTTAAGTTACAAGAAATAGCAATTAAATAGGATGTTCAATAATTTTGAATTGTCTTGAGCAGCAATTTTACGGAAAAAGTGAAATATATAAAATTATAATAGGTTACATCCTTACGTTGCTACTTAATGACGCTGTCTTAATTGAATATCTAACTGTCAGCTTAAAATTATATGATATAATAAAATAAAATTAGTTTCCTTCAAATCAAAATTTAAATGATAAAAATACGATGATTACTTATTAAAGTAATTTATTTAATTAAAAAAATTTTCGAATCTCCAAATTTAGACTTTCTCGAAGACCGATTACAATTTACTAAAATCAAATAAGGAAATTCAAAATAATATTATATAATAGGTAATAATATACTACAGTAAAACCTCGCTAAAACGGAACTTCGGTAAGACGGGAACCCCGGTATTACGGAATATTTGTTTGGTCTCGTTTCAAATTACATATAATTTTATCCCGCTAAGACGGAAACCTCGCCAAGCCGGAAACGGACACGTTTTTGTAATGAAAGTTGATGAGAACCCTCGCTAAGACGGAAATATAACACGATTTTCGTGTAATAAATTTATTTTCGTACTGTCGACCAAGAACAATTTCTGCACATTGATGACCAACTTGAGACGCAGCAAACCCATGATTCGGCTATATCCATGGTTGAGAATGAAAGTGAAAAAGACGAAGACAACGACGAAAACCAATATGAAGAACCAGAAAATATGGTAAAAGATTACAAAACTGCTATCTGCTACAACGAGGAACTACAAAAATTTTCCCTCACAGTGTCTAATAGTGAGCTTTTGGATTTGATTTCGAGAGCCAAGGAACGTGACTCGTTTCAAAATAAAAAGCAAAAATCAATAACCGATTTTTTTCAAAAAATATAATTATGTATTTATTAATGTATACTGGCTAAAAATAAATACGTAATAAATAAATATAGATGAATAAGTATAAATATAAAATTAAATAAAAAATATAAATTGTATGTATTATGTATCAACTGGTTTAAAATAAATATATATGTAATCTTTAATTTTATTCAATTAAATTTTTTGAACCCCGTCAAGACGGAAAAATATCATGGTTCCATGCGATTCTGTCTTATCGAGGTTTTACTGTATACGATTTTAGATTATTTCTTATCTTATAATCCCACAAATGAATATTGGACTCTGGACTGTCGTCGTTTGTCGGCGTTTCCGTCTATTTAAGTATTTTATGATAATCATAATTATTTAATTATTCTATCGTGACACTGCACGCACTCTATTGACACACCGGGCTATTAATTAACTTGTTTCCATTATGCCCATTGACGTGGGCTATCTATGTATATTTAATCAATGCTTCCAGTATCCATTCATACATATTACCATAAATACCAATGCATTTTTAGCAACTGGAATCTCGTCATTGTCATAATTGCAGTCGGTTCCTAGGTTTATATATCCATACATATTTTGTTGTGTGTCAATCTCAATATGCCTTTTCACACTCATTTCATCAACGGTTAAACTGCAATACACTTTACTATCTAAGACTTTGTTCTTGATTGTTTCAAATGCTTCTTTTGTGAAACCTGGCTTACCGTCTACAACCATATACCACCCACGTCCCACACAGCAATTGGAAAATATTTATATTGTAGACATATGTTTTCTTTATGTTCTTCAAAATATGTTGGTACAATACATTTTGACAATATGTTTATATTATGAACAAAACTATATTTAAAAATGCATGTTTAAAACATATTGTAACAATATATATATAATGGCCAAGAAAATATTTTAAGCAACACCAAGTGAAAATATTGAGACAATGTAGATCGAAAGTTATTGATAATATATGTTCTGAATTCTGATAGATAATCTGACAATATGTTTATTTAAAGTTCAAGAACATATTTAGTTAAGTATATAGGATATTCAGGGAAGAAGTTAGTTTCTTTTGAATATATTTTAACCATATCACGGAGCACGAATGGTATTTAGGATTTTAATATTACAATAATAAATGTCGATTGATCCAAATTATTATAAATAATACAAATGTTAATAATTATTACTTATACGAGCAAAGTATACCAAAATGTGGGACTGTCTCAAAGTTCAGTTGCGCGTGATGGTAATCGCTTAATATATAGTCAGCATATTATTGTAAATAATAGATAGGTACATATTATATATTATAATATGTATATTATGTTATATGTCATATGTGCCTATTGTACATATAATATATTATTCTATACTAATAAAGAGGAAAGATTTGATTGTTTGTATTGAATAGGCTCCGAAACTACTGGACAGATTTTAAAAATTGTTTTACCATTAGAAGCCGACATTATCATTGATGAATATAGGCTAATTTAAAAAGTGAATTGATCACCCAGGGGAGGTGCTCAAACTGGAATTTTGAGATTTACGATAGAAATTTGTGTTTATTGTATTGGCAATGATATGGAGGAAGTCGAATAACTTCATGGCCCATTTCTAATGCCAATTGATCCAATTCATATTTTTTTTCGGAAAATTATGAGGAAGATTTAACACGTTATACTTTAGGTGATCCAATTCCAGATCAGAAGGAAAATACTGTCGCGGAAGCCTTTGTTACACACTTCGTTTGTGTACTCGGCACACCAGAACAATACTAAGGGATCAAGGAAATAATTTCCTATCGAAAACGTTTGCAAATGTTTGTAAAATATTAAAGATAGAAAAGGTTAACACAAGTCCATTTAGACCGCAGGGTAACCCCGTAGAACAAGCTCATAGGACTCTAGCCGAGTATTTACGACATTATGTAGATAAGAATTTAAATAATTGGGATCATTTATTACCCTTTGCATTCTTCGTATATAAATCGACAGTACATGAATATCAGCTTTTGGATTCCTGAAGGGCAGCACCAACACTGGCGCAGTCGAGGTAGGATTTCTTTCAAAGGAGGCAAACCGTCAAAGGATACTGTCAACAAAGAAGAATTGATCACAGAAGACAACTCCAAGAAGAACCATCAAAAACAAATAAGTCACGTCGCAGTACCAACAAATCCATCAGCATCATCAGTATGATAGGTGGTTCTAGGAAAAATATATATAAATAGTTTAGTTTTAATATAATTATAATTTATACTTTTAGATTGGTGATGATGACGTGTTTTCTAGTCAACACTGACGAAACTGACGAAATAAATACATCAGAGTACTTTTCATATAAGCCTTATGAAATTGGCAGGGGAATACAATACGAGAATTTGGGACTAGTTAGACTAATAGGGGCTGAATACAGTCTTGTAACGTTTTTCTCATTAAAAGAATAAAACATGAAATATGAATTATTGGAGGAAAAAATGAAGAATATAACAAATATATGTACTGACCAGAAACACCAAGATCTATGTGGAAAATATCAAATAGGAATTACAGATTTATATAATGAAATAACTAAACAGAAAGAACGTATGTATATGTCACTACGAAGTAGGTAGTATAAACGAAGATAAACGAAGAAAGAAAAGGGGATTAATAAACATAATAGGTAACGCCATGCATACATTATTTGGCGTATGTGATGATAAATGCACTAAGAAAACACGAGAAGCTATAAAACAAACAGTAGAATCAGGAACTTACATATTGCACATAATGAAAACTCAAACAACGTTAGTGAAATCAACGATAAGAAATATTGGAAATACACTAAATCAAACTGAACAACTATACAATAATATTACGGAAAGGGAGCAACAACTATAAGTAAAAATGTCAAAAATACAGAACAAAACAAACGATATATTAGATTTACTAATGAAAAATGAAATATATAATTCATATACAATAATTACAAATCAATATTCCTACGAAACAGAAACATTAGGGCAAATAGTAACTGCCGCTAGAGAAGGAATGATACATCCAAGTCTTATGTCACCGCAAGAACTAGCATCAACATTAAAAGCAATAGAACAAACGATAAAGAAAAAATATAGTATTCCGATGGGAACAAGGAGATGGGAACTAAATGAATTTCAAAAAATTACAAAAATAAGAATCTACTATTCGAACAACAGATTAGTATTTGATATAGTAATACCATTAATTGTTGACACTGAACTTACATTATATAGGTTAACACCAGTACCAATGCGTCATAAGCAAGATAATTCTAGTGGGTGGTGCATGATGGACATTATTTACAATAATATTGCAGTAACCAAAGGTTATAAAAGGTTACTACATACACAGATCAACAATTAAACGAATGTAAAGAAACTTCAATATACAGAATATGTAAAACACCACAACCTATACAGGATAACAACGAACGCCAACCATGCGAAGCGCAAAACTTCATAAAATCTGACACATATTCTAATCCTGAGACATGTACGGTAAGGAAAATTAATTTAAAGAAAATCATATACCAAAAATTGCAAAATAGGAATACATGGATTCATGCAGGAAAAGAGACACTAACAATAAGTTGCACAGACCTAACAGATCCATTCATAACAGAAACAAATGAAGCAGGAGAAATAACTATAAAGGATATCAGTTGAAAAGTATTCGCACGAGACGCAGTATTAACAGCCACGGAAGAAATTCTGGATATTAAATTTAAAGACTTCACATTTGTAACTAACATGAAAAATGTTTTAGAAAAAATACCTGAACATTTACACAAATTTGAAGCAAATGAAAAATGGGAAAGAAAACCATCTATGAAATTCACAGATTTACACAACACATCCAAATCTTTAGACGAGGTACAACAAATGATTGACCAAGAACTTTCAAGAGAACAAAATCAAAAACATCAATTTATACACAGTAATTTATTATATGTAACAATATTACTAGCATCGTTATCTCTCATACTTATAATAACAATATATATATATATATTAATTAAATGCAAATATATTAGTAATGGACAGATAAGATAAATGCCGGGAAGAATAGTTAGATATAGAACACCAAGAACAAACGATTACGTAAGAGGATTCGAAGAGACATTATTCACCACACCACCATCACCAAGATAAATAAAATAAAAATAAATATATATTAAGAGTAGTCACTAGTCATAACGAATTATTTACTTTATTTATAATATAGTAAATGATTAAATTTAGTAATAATAAATAAACATATAAAATAAAAATACGTAATATATTAATGAAAATAAGCAATAACTAGACAATAAGGAAAGTTAATAATTGAATTAATATATCATGTAAATTATAGATATATAATAATAACGTTGTGTTCAGGTCGAAATAATAAGATGAAAACGAATAATAATAACACAATTTAAATAAATAAAGATAAATGAAAATAAATAATAAAATAAAACATTATTACGTGCATAACAGAAATGATACGTAAAATAATATTCTATAAATAATCACAAATAACTTTTAACTATTTCAGAAATTAAGAAAAAATATTTAAAACGCGTAGAAATAAAAATATATAGAAATATATCACCTCTACCACGCTCAGTTCAACTGACACTAAACACTGGAATTCTTTCGGAAACTTAAAACAGAATTAATAACAGCACACCAAACACAAATTAACTATGGGGAAACAGTGACCTTACACTGTTTCAGAAGGCACATAAGGAGGACAAATGAAAACATGACACACCCCTTTCGGCAACTAATTTTAGAAAGAGTTATGGTACATGTGAGCGATTTTGTAAGCGTGGTAGTTAACGACCGGACCACAACAGACCTATCTGTGTAGAATTGGGTTTGCTGTTAGAACAACCAACAAAAAGAGGCGTGGCGATCGAACCGATAAACGAAGAATAGTTCCAGGAAATTAAAACATACATATATAATATTAATAAAAAATAAAATATTAATAACCCTTAGGTTAGGTTAGGTTAGGTTAACCTACATTTTATTTTAGCTCACAGATCCGTTTTTTCATAGTGGATTTCGAATTCTTTACGGCCAGTAAAGACGAAACATTATTGGTATCCGGATCGATTTCGAATAGTTTTGTAAAATACCATCCCAAGAAATTGGAAGGAATTCCTCTTATACTTACGAAAGACGATAAGTTAAGGAGATTCCGGCGATGCGACTTTAAGGATATTGTGCAAACAATCAAACGGTTGTTCCGTGGGAAAAAGGCAAGCGTGATTGCACCACTGTTGGACCAGTTATACAAGTGTAAGCCACCAGGTGGAATCAATCTTGTCAACGGTTTACTTGCAAAGATATTTGCACATAAACAATAGGGATCCAATAATAGTATTCTGGAATGGAACGACGGATATAACAATAATTAAACGATTAAGATTAAAAGGTATTTTAGCATTTTTAAATATATCAGCATATAGTGTTAGGAATAATGATAAATTTAATTTAGAACAAACAAATTTAAAAACTAAAGAAGTTGTATATTCAGGGTATTTAGGTAAATAAATAAAAACGGCAGAATGTTAGGACTATCAGAAGCGCATGGATTAATGTGCAATACTAATCATAATATTACGCATTGTCATGATCCAATTGCCGATGTAATCTTAACAAAATGTCTATTCAATTATGTAGTTTCAAAAATAATACCCATATATTT